GCCTCGCCGGGCCCAGCTTGGTCAGGGTCACCGGGACCGAGCCAGGTGGTAGCCGGCCACGGTGGCCGCGTATTGTCGGCCCTGCGGTGCTCTCGGTAAATGGATTTGCTTTGGAGTGAGGCGTGGGCAGCATCCAGGGTCAGAGCTTTAGAAAATGACTCTCCTCATGGGCCTTGCTGAAACTGGCTTCAGAAGACGGTTCTTGTTTCAAAGACCCTGCATTGAGGTCTCCTAAGAATGCAGCTCAGCTCTCAGGGCCTGCCATGTATTGAGGGCACCTCCAGCACCCTGGGAGAGAGTTGCACTTAGGGCGGGGAAGGACTTCACAGGACCAGGACGGAGGGTGCTGGCAGGAGAAGATACTGATGTCTGGACAGTCCTCTGTGTGTTTGGGGGGGCCACTCATATGCCCTGCCCCTTCAGGGAGCTAACAAGGTGGCTGCTTAGCAACCCATCATGTGGGAGGGAGTGACAACCCCCAGTGCCCAGCCAGAACACCCATCCTGGCTCACACTCGTCTCCTGGGCATGGGATTCAAGGCCCCTGGTGATCAGGCCTGCCCCTCCACTCCTCATAAATCACCTACCTTTGAGAGCTGCAGCCCGGGCGCTTAGTGCCCCTGCTCCCGCACCCAGCCACCTTTCCCACCTTCTGATTCCCATGCACTCTCCTGACTGGCCGCTTGGAACGTGACAGTCCAGCTGTCAATGTTCAGCTCAGATACCCCCTCCTCCAGGGAGCCTTCCTGCTCTCCAGGTCTAGACAGAGCTCCCTCTCTGCTCGCTTTATGCATATTTTTAATCATGAAACACACAAAGGGCACTATAATGAGTCTCCACATGTTCTACATGCAAATGAGTAAACATGGACATCTGGCAATTTGCTCTGATCACTTCTTTAAAGGGCTACATTCCTCCCCCCCCCCCCCACTCTTCCCCAGGGGCAACCAGTCCTACAATAGGGTGGATACCCAGTCTTTCCAAGCCACACTCAGTCCCGGGTGCTGGCGTTGCATGAGTGGTATTGGTCTGTGCGTGACGTGGACCGCTTGTGTGTCCCACCCTGAGGTGTGTCTTCACCTGCGAGTCAGGTTCTTCACTTCGGCTGCTGGGAGGTTTCCTATCCTATGAGAATATTCCAGCTGGTCCTTTCCCTGCCTAGGGACAGTCGAGCTGTTCCCAGGTTTCCTGGTTGCAGGTGCTTGTGCCCATGATAGGAGTCACCCCAAGGTGTGCTCAGGAGGGGAGCTACAGGCCTAGGTGGGCTCCCTCAACGCAAGAGTCCACCTGCTGCCCTCTTGCCAGCACAGGGGACTCCTCGAGTCTCTGCCCAGCCCTCATATTTGCTGCTTCACGGTGGCATCGTTTGTCAATGCATAATTCGTCCGTGGAGGAGACGGGCTGAGGCCACAGAGTCACTGGAATGACTCCCGTCATTGCTGCCTGCTGCGTTTTGAGCACCTGAGAGCCGTTCCTCCTGCCCTTCCTGTGGGTCCTTGTAATGGGGAAGGTGGTTCTTGCTCCCCTGCTTTGGCAATGAGGAGGCCAATGCTTGGTGCAACCCGGGCCAGGAGGGGAGCAGCATGCTAGTGAGGTCGGTCGGCCTCTCCCAGTGACCTTGCTCTTAGCGTGTCCTGAATGGTTATGACCACACATGGCGCGGGGGAGATGTGGGACAGCTGACTGCAAGACAGAAGTAGGCAGGAATGGCCCTGGGTTTCCACAACCACTCCCGGTGGCTCCTGATGGTCCCCTGTGGACAAGCTCAGGGTGAGTGGAGGTGCAGAATCGGGGGAGTAGGGGCGGGGGCGCTGGACTGGGGTGTGACGGCCAGGCCTGACAGTGAACCTGCACTAGCGGCGGCAACACATGGAACCGTCTCGCTCGTTCCTGACAGTGATAAAGGCCGCAGTTGGATTTCATCTGTGAATAATAAACTGGTTTCACATGACAGTAAAAGTGGTGCTTATGTTGTATTAATATTTATTAGCAGTTATTGATGTTGGAACCGACTTGTTATCTTTGCCACACATCACAGCAGTTCTATAAAGATGCAAGGGAAATTGCAACTCGAGAAGCAATTAAATCGCTGTGCTCCATGGCTGTGCGGTGGCTTAGCCACATGGGGGGAGGGAGTGTGGCCGCCGTCTGTGGGGCTTCCTGGGTGCTTCTGGGAAGCCCAGGGATGCTTCCTCAGCCTCCTCCCCCAGCTGGGTGAGACTGGCTCCCCAAGTGCCCAGTACCCTGTGGGTCTCAGGCCTTGCAATGGGACCTCAGGTGGGCCTCTCTGCCTCGGGGCCTCAGCAGGCAAAGACTGTGCCCCGAGATTCTGAGTGAATGCACCCAAGAGTGTGTCCACCCTTGTTTTGTAAGGTCTGGAAGGGAACACAGCACACCAGGGGGAGAAAGTCACAGAGATCCTGCACCTTCTGTAGACTGTTGTCCTGGTCCCTTTCGTGGGAAGAAGGGTTGGTGCAGGGCTGCTCTGAATACAGAGTGGCCTAAGAGGGCCATGAACATCAGGGCTCATTCTGGGCTGCATCCTGGCTTCAAAACGAGTAGATGACCATGGAGTTCAACTGTGGCCCTGGAGTTTGGGACCTTGTGAGGTGGGTGCGGGTCCTCGGGGCACATGCTGCTGCGGGGGCATGTCGTGGAAGAGCGTGGAGTGTCAGGGTAGATGTCATCTACTTTTAAAAGCCTTCACTGTGTGTTTTTCTCAAGTCTTACCTATATATCTACATTGGTGTCCGCTTGGTAGTAATACATAAGCCCTCCCAAATGTCCCTGAAGAGAAGGCTGAAGACCATAAGCCCCCAGTGTGGCCACCCTACAGGATGCCTCGGCTGGGGGGCTGTGCTGCTACCTGCCTGGCTTCATGCCCCCCCACGGCTGACACTGTATCTGCGCCGTATGGTGCTCAAGACCACTTGGGCTCCCTGAGAATCATTCAGTGAATCCTCAGAAACTCCGTGAGCGGAGCAGGACTCTCCCGTTTCTCAGAGAAAGAAACTGAGCCTCAGGTCACAGGAGCAGCATTAGGTGTGGGGGAAGGGAGTGGAGGATGAGCACCCCCTCCAGGAGGCCTCCAGGGACCTGGCCTAGACAGAGACTGGCATCCAGGGCCATCCAGGGGACTTCCTGCAGGAGTTGGCCCTGAACCATCTTCCACGGCCATCCCACCCCCAGCTTTTTGTTGGGTCTATGAACTCTTACAGACTCGGACAGTCATTGTAGCTTCCTGGTGGCCTTTGTCCTCATCAAGAATGTATCTGCTGACAGTTGGAACTCCATGCAGGGTTGAGCCCCTGGAGGGGCCAGCCTGGGCTGTGGCTCCTTGCACCCCTAATGCCCTTCATTCACATTCTCTGGTCAGCAGTCTCTGGGGGCACGTGCCTTCCAGCACATGGTTGTCTTCTCTTAGCAGCTGAGCTGAGAAGGGGCCTGAGGTTTTGGCTTCAGCATGTGGCCTTAGGAAAATGCCTTCCACTTGCTGGGCCTCCGTTTCTCCATCTGTAAACCAAGTGGGGAGTACTGCATGGCTTCTGGGTTTAGACGGGCTGGGGTCCAAATGCTGCTCCTGGCCACTTGGCATCATTTGGTTTCTCTGAAGGGAGAATGGACTCCTTTTGCAAATCGACTAAGCTGCTATGTCAGAAGTCACTTGCCCCTGGGTTCTGAAATTTAAAAATACAGAACTTCTCATTGGACCCTGGTCCCAATGGCCCCTGACCTGTGATCTGTGACTGTGCCCCTTTTTGTCCAGTGACTGGGTCATGGTTTTTGGATGAGAGTTTAGAGAACAGGGTGTGTCCCTCTGGTGACCACCAGGGCAGGACAGACATAGAGGAAGCGGCTGCAGCCACGGGCAGGTGTGAGGCCACAGAGGAATGCAGGATGATAGGAAGGAGCTCTGAGGAAGGTTGACACCTGTGGCTAGCAGGGACTGGGGAGCCCAGGGTGCAGCCTGCACAGGAGCAGTCAGAGGTGGGGCCAGAAACGGGTGAGGGTGAAAGCACCTTCACATGGCGGGTTAACACTGGTCGTGAGCTTAGTGGGAGCTCAGCCAGTTCCTTCTCAGAGATGAGGATTGGATGCTGGAGAGCGGATGTGGCTTCCTGGATTTGACCAACAAGGGGCTGCAGCTGGATGGTGACACCGAAGTTGGGCCGTCCATCCTGCCCCTTGGACCCTAAGGTGGACTTTCCTCCCAGGCCTGTGCTTCCCACCCTCTGTCTCCTGAGCCCTCACTGCATGGCCATGCTCCTCCCGAGTTCCAGACATGAGGCATCTCGCCCCCTCTCTCTACCCAGCGCAGGGGCCTCCTGCCTTCACCAGGCCCTGCCCTGGCCCCTAAGCACCTGCTACCTTTACCCTCACCTGCTCTGTGGGCAGGAACCCTTCCTCCTGCAGATGAGAAGCCAGGAGACAGAGCCGAACCCATCTGCCTCTGCCGCAGCTCCCAAGTTAAGCCCCCAAAGCGCTCAGAAACGTTTGCTAAAGACACACTTATCTAAAGCCACGTGTGGCTTCTGACTGGAGGATCACAGAGTTTGCACCAACACCTGTCTCCTCCCACCTGTCTGGCTGAGTCTGAGCTTCCTTCCTGAGGTTTCCCGGGCTGCCCTGGGGACTCGGCTGATGTAGAAAGCATTTGAAGTTATCTTTGACTTTTATGGCCCCTTTTTTTCCTATTAAAATGCTTAGAGCTGTGAATGTAGTCATAAGAAGCTCATTTATCTTGACAAAAGTGCGGCTATAAACTATCTGGTGCTCGTGAAATAGCCTCTGAGATGATTGTTTCTGCTGGTATCGATAAATTCCAACTCGGAGCAGAAAGGTCAGCCCTTGCCAGATGAAATGTCCTTTCAGCTTGCTAATTAAAGGTTTATAAAGAAGTGGAAGGACGCACTCAGGGAGGGCTTGGAGCGGAGGCAGCGAGTGGAGACGAGAGCACAGAGCCGACTTAGCACTGGAGGGAATGGACCACGGGCAGCGGTGATGGCGTTGGGCCAGGAGGGACCCGCCATCCCCGGGAGGGGTGAGGTGGTGGGGTCTTGTTCCGCAGCCCTGTGTGTAGAGACTTTAGGCTTTGACTCCAGGAATCATCTTGTCTTTGGCGCTCGGGGCCAGGGGCCAGTGGGTACAGAGGTCATTGCTCCTGCCAGCCTGGCTAGGGGGTCCCTGTGCTTGGGGACATTCCATACACAGAGCTCCCCTGAAAAGCTGCCAGCACCCCACGTCCCAGGTGGTAGTACAGATGCCAGCTCTCGATTTGGGTTGGAGTCAGGAAGCACGTGCCAGGTGCTGCGTATTCTGTGAACCTCCTGAGGGCATCCAGTATTTCCCTGTAATTGGTTGTTACTCTTGGTAAGTGAGTATGAGGACAAGGCGGAAGCAAGCTCTCCCTGTCTTTTCTCCCTGCCCAGCTCTCGGGGCTCTGCAACTTCAGCAGCCTGTGTCCGTTCCTTCCCTCTAAGCTCCTGTCCCTCTCTGGGTGTGAATTCCTAAACTGGATGGACAGGTGGTGTCCGTGGCCAGAGGGAGGGCCAAGCCCTGACCAGAATCAAAGATTAAGAACCACAGACACAGAGCCAAAGACGTTTCCGGAGGACAGTCCATGTGGGAACACAGAGACATGTACCCTAAAGTGGACCCTCTGAGGAACCAACAGCTGGCGCCCAGCAACTCCCAGACACGGACACGCAACGACCCTCAATCCACCAGAACCATCCACAGGAGCAGCTTGACACACAGAAACATGCAAGGACTCACAGAGACACACAGGGACTCAGACACAACAGCACACGCCTTGCCTCCCAGACCTCCTCGGGCTGGACCACACCTGGAAGCCCTGTTTGGGGCATGGTAGCCAGAAGGAAAGCCCCAGCTAAGCAGGATCATGCCTGTTCTCTGGCTTCTATGGGTTCTGTTGGCCAGCCAACACCTGTGCAAAGATCTCTGCTTTCAGGAGCGCCACAGCCCTTCCCTCATGCACTCAGTGATGAGGAGACCACCCCAGGAAACTGCCAGAGGGACGTACCCCATGTAGGCCTTTATTTTATTTAATTCATTCATTCATTTTTTTGAGTTGCGGCTCACCACAGCCTTGACCTCCTGGGCTCAGGCAGTCGTTCCACTTCAGCCTCCTAAGTAGGTAGGACACTAGACACACACCACCACATCTGGCTAAATTTTTTGATGTTTTTATAGGGACGAGGTCTCTCTGTGCTGCCTGGGCTGGTCTCTAACTCCTGGACTCAAGTAATCCTCCTGCCTTGGCCTCCCAAAGTGCTAGGACTACAGGTGTGAAGCACCATGCCTGGCCCATGTGAGCCTTTACCCACAGAACCTATTGGAGGGACAGCCAGTTTCCCCCAGCCTGCACCCCTGCCCCTGCTTGCCTGTCTCCCACTGCCACAGTCTAGGCTGGGGCTTGGACTCCAACTGTTGACAAGCTGTGTAAGGAGCATCAGCTGGCAGGCTAGGGCAGGGAGGTCAGAGCCTTTTACACACATCACTTAGCGGAAGCAGGGGGCAACACAGTGGGATAGAGTCCAAGATAACAGAGAGAAGACAATTTCCATACCGTCCCATCTTTAAAATGTGTGCATTTGGGAAGGTGGGCCTTGGGCAGTGCTTGAGATGGAGTTTCAGTGCTGCCTACTAAGCCATGCTGGCAAGGATTGTGCAACAGCATTATAGGTTGAGACACTGCCTCATAAAGTGGCTGAGTCTGTTTTTAATGTGCTCTGTGTTGCACAGAGAGCTCTATTCCAACAAATGTCCAAAGTGGATTTCCAGTTCAACATGGGAAAGTTGGCTCCATGCAGAGAGGCAGGCAGGTGGCTGGAAGGACACAAGTCTCTCAGGGTTTTGATCACATGGAGGGCAGGCGGCAAAGAGGAGGCAGGTACCATCCATAGACAGGAAAAGTGACCCTGTGGTTTGTGGGGCCTGAGGCCCTTTGCCGTATCATTTGGGGATGGATGACATTCATTCTAGGGGTAGAAAGATACTGGATAAGGGGAAGAAGGGGTGGAACTTATTTTTAACAGTTTTGTTGAGGTATAATTGATATACAATAAACTGCTCATATCCACAGCATATAAGTTTGACAGATGTGAAATCATCGCCACAATCAAGATCATGGACACATCCTTCCCCCAAAAGTGTCCCCATTCCCTTTTGTCATCCCTACCCCCATCTCCACAAAACCTCAAATCTATTTTCTGTCGCTTTCGTATACATTTTTCAGTATTTTATAAAACTAGCATCATATAATATGTTCTTTTTTTGGCGTCTGGATTCTCTAATTCCACACCATTATTGTGTGATCTGTCCATATTGTGTGTATCAATAGTCTGCTCTTTTTTATTACTGAATAATACTCTTGTCATGTGCTGTGCCACAACTTGTTCATCTGTGTCCCTGTTGGTAAACATTTGGGTTGCTTCCAGTCTAGGCTGTAACACATGCTGGTGCTGTGAGCATTCATTTACAAGTCCCTGTATGAGCATGTGCTTTTTTTCCCTCTTGGATGATGTTTAGGTATGGAATGGCTGCATCATATGGCAAACATCTTAGTTTGCCTGGATGCAATAACAAAAATACCACAGATTGGTTGGCTTCAGCAACAGAAATCTATTTCTCACAGTTCTGGAGACTGTGGAGTCCAAGATCAAGGTGCCAGCAGATTCACTTCCTGGTGAGGGCTCCCTTCTTGGTTTGCAGACGGTTGCCTTCTTACTGTATTTGCCCATGGTAGAGAGAGGAAGCAAGCTCTCGTGTTTCTTCTTTAAGAGCACCCTCATGACCTAATCCCATCTCCAAATACCATCACATCGAGGGTTAGGGTTTCAACATTTGAATTTGGAGGGGACACAAACTTCTGTCTATAGCAGTAAATGTATGTTTAATTTTTTTTTTTTTTGAGTCGGAGTCTCACTCTGTTGCCCAG